GTAGAGGGGGCGGGGGGGGGGATGGGTAGACAGGGCAGTGGGGGATGGGTAGATAGAGAGGGAAGGATGGGTAGACGGGGCAGCGGGGGGTGGGTAGACGGGGCAGTGGGGGATGGGTAGACAGGGCAGTGGGGGGATGGGGAGCCGGAGGGGAAGGATGGAGGCGGAGCCCTAGACAGATAAGTACGGACCCTGCTCGGGTGCAGGCTGTAACCTCTGGCCGTTGCCCCCGCAGGGGAGAAGCCGTACAAGTGCACCTGGGAAGGCTGCGACTGGCGCTTTGCCCGCTCGGACGAGCTCACCCGGCACTACCGCAAGCACACGGGCGCCAAGCCCTTCAAGTGCCTGGCCTGCGGGCGCTGCTTCTCCCGCTCCGACCACCTGGCCCTGCACATGAAGAGACACCAGAACTAGCAGCGGAGCCCTGCCCCGCCCTCGTCTCCCCTCCAGGAGCAGCTGGACTCCTTCCCCTGGGATGGGCGACTCGTCTTGTACATAGGAACCGCACCGGGCTGCGATCAAACGGCAGCCGGCAGGCTCCGCTGGCGCCCGCCTGGTGCCCTGCCAGCCGGCTACTCTTCGGCAAAGGCTGATTAAAGTGCGATCTGTCCCCGGCCAGGACCCCGCTCCTGGACCAGGAGATGGTCCTTGGACCCTAGACCGCTCCCTTCCCAGTCTAGGGTCCCTTCCCTATTTATTTTTCACGCTGAAGCAATTTTCCCTTTTGACTCGACCTCTGGAGCTTTTCCTTCCCTTTCCTCCTGCAGCTGGGATGAGCCGAAATACGTCAGACGGGGGGCCCACGGCTCGCCCGCTGCTGGGAGAGCGTCTATCGATTCTTTGCAGTGACGCCTCGGACCGAGCTATTCCGTGACCAAGTTGCCACCGGCAGGGAGGCCCGCAGGATATGCCATGCGAGCTGAGCAGGGAAAGCTCAGGCTTGTTCGGAAAGGCCCCTCTGTGGGCGTGGCCCCCGTGGCTGCGGCAGGAACGCCGATCCCCACAAAGTGCCACCACGGCTGGAACAGATCCAAAGCCGACGACAAAGTCGTTCGCGCGCTGCTGAGGCCACGTGCTGTATCCTGCAGAGGCAGCTTTGGGAGCTGAATCCCGATGTTCTTTGGCCAGCCACGTCCACCCTTGGGCCCTTTGCCTTTCTGCTCGGAGGATGGTTTTGGCTTCTCTCTTCCTAAGAACCAGGTTGGCTTTTAGAGGTGGGAAGTGGCCAGTCCCCAGACCAAGCAAATGGACTCGCTGGTTTCCCAGAATGCATTGTGCCTTTGATTTCCCAGGATGCATTGAGTGGGCCCCGCCTCAGGCCTCAAACACAAAGGACTGGTCATTACAAGCCCTTTTGTCCTGGTGCCGCTGGTGCATTTTCCCACGCTCAGAAAAGCCGCTTTGAAAACAAACTCGGCTAAATCCCGCTGTGCGAACTGTCCCCCCGTCACCTACCTCACAGGTTCACGGCCCCGCGCTCTCCAAGGGGCCTTCACGTGTCTTCCGAGCACGCCTCGATGCGCCACATCCGGGGGAGACCCCGGGAGCGCACGGACGGCGAAAAGTAGGCAGAACAAGACGAGGCTGTGCCCATTGCCACGGCAGCCACGTAGGAGATAAGAAACAAACCAGGGCTGCAATTGGCCTCGCGTGTCCTGCAGGGCCTTGTTCTCCTGGAGAACAAACGTCAGCGACGCACAGACAGTGACGTGGGATAGATCAGCCACAAGGCAAAACCACGGAGCTTGGGCGCTTCATTCCCCACGTAGCCTAGTCATCCAGGGAGATCCCAGGGAGAGCGGAGGGCAGGGCTTGTGAGATTCCTGGCAAGCGGCCCACAAAGCCCCGTGCCGGCTCAGTGTTTGGGCTGAGCAGCTTGTCTGGCCAGGCCAGGGGGACACAGGTTAGGCCACGTCAGTGACCCAGCTGCAGTGACTCACCGGGATGAAACGTCAGCGACCTCCGGCCGAGTGGGCGGAGCCGGGAGTGGAGCTGTCTGCAGAGCTTGGCTCGGGATCTGGGAACAGGGACGCAGCTCGTGCCTTGGCTTGTTGCGCTGCAGTCCCTGGGCTCACGGGCGCTGACTCGATCCTGCTCTTCAGACCCGCCAGCTGGCCTTGCCAAATGGGTTCTCCAGCAAGTTCCACGCCCGCCTGCTCCACCTTCCCTCTGGTTTGACCCTGACAAAGGTCATGCCCGGCCAGGGCCCTCAGCAGAACTGGAGCCAAAAGAAACCAGGAAGGGAACCCAAGGGCGTGCACCCTGAACACTGCACCCTCCCCTCCTAGGGGATTTTGGAGGCTCCGGGACGCACCGCCAAGAGGGGCGGCACGTCGTGACTAAAAGGCCCTTGTTATAACCCAAGGATCCCTGGGGAATTGATATGTGCCATATGTTTATTGCAGTAATGGATGTATTATTGGATTGTGTACCTTGTCAAATAGATGAGTACGCACGCGTATGTGTGTGTGTGCGTGTGTGTGTGTGTCTGTGCGTGCGTGTGTGTGTGTCTGTGTGTGTCTGTGCATGCGTGTGTGTGTGTCTGTGTGTGTCTGTGCGTGTGTGTGTAGCAGCTTCAGATTCTGGTATGCACAGGAACATGGCAATGAGGTCCTAACTCTCTGGTGCCCGCATTCACAAGAGGGCGTTTGGTGGCCCGCAATAGACATGAAGTCGGATTCGATGCTTTAGGCCTTCTGGGCGTCCACTCCGTGACGCTGCGGTTCGCCGTGTCCGTGGCTTGCTCCCTTTGAGTTCATGACTCGCTTTCAAGCGAAGCTTCGCGGGAAGCATTTAAACCCCAGAACTGAGCTCCACCCTGCGCCACGCCCGCAAGCAGCGTGTCACACCAGAGCCGGTGCCGGGCCTGCCGTTTTACGGGCAGGATGTGCCATTGACAGTGCCTCTTTCTGAATCCGGGCCTTGTCCGCGGTGCCTCCAAGGATCCGTTTGTAGAGACGGGTCTGCGGTGTGGACCCCGCTGTGGGACTGCAGGATGGGGAAGTTCTCTGCACCCTCAGAAAGGTTTGGCTGTTGAGAACAGTCGGGCCATTAGTATGGCATGCGCAGGCCGACCCGCACAGTCTCTGTCCTTTGGCATGATCTCAAGTGGAAAGCATGTCATTGTAAGACAACAACACATGTTAAACCAGTCGCATCTCCTGGCTCCTGGGAGTGAGGGCTGGGTGGAAACCCAGACCAGCCATGTTGGAGCATGTCAAACCCAACCCAAGGTTGGCTTGGATTCAGCTGCCATAGCATTGTGATATATTGCAAATGCAAGGCCTCTCCCACCAATCCTGTTGCTCATGTAGCTTCCCCACCCACATGTACACACCCCAAAATATCTGCCACGCAGGATCCCAGTGATGAGCAGCCGGGTCACAACCGTTCCTTAGAACAGGGCAGGTGGAGAAGGCAACATTAGCAAACCAGAGACACGACACTGGTTGTACTAAGTGCGCCCACATTCCATCATCTAGCCGCATGGACAACCCTCAAGGCAATGCCAGCTTCCGTCTGTAGATTTGTGGGCATATGGAGCCCACTGTGAAGGCTGGTGGTAGCTCCCCGATATAGCCTCACCTCAGCCGTGCTATGCTGGAGACAGAAGTCTTTACCTATGAAGGGCTTGGCTGGAGCAGGTGTAACATTGGATGTTGCATGGTGTCCAATGTGCTTTTGTTGTTGTTTTTTTTACAAATGCTAAATTTCAACAGCATCAAAGGAAAATTTCCATGCAAAAGAGATGACAGGCAGATGAAAATGTGAAATACTTTAGGCCTGGGACGTTGAGGCTTAGAGCCAAAGAAGAACCGATCTCACCCTCTTCCTCGTTTTTTAAATCTCTCATGCCAACGCAAAGCCATGCGGACAGTGGAAAACGAATGGGCATTACGAGTTGGTGGTCCAAAAGCGACCGTTTGATTTGTTTGGTGGCAAACGTCAATGTTTTTGACATTTCTCGACCGGCCTTTTTGGGGCCAAAAAAGTGTGTGCTTTTGAAAAGCGGTTTTCTGTAAAATTGTTGGTTAAAAAAAAAACAACCCTTAAAAATGAGTTTTTAAAAAATCACTGGTGTTCTCTCAGAACTGCAGACGTTTTAAATGGAAAACTTGAGTATTTTTTATTTGAACTATTTCACTGGGAAAAAAATCTGGATTTTATTTATTTTTGGGAAAGAAAATAGAAAATAGTTATTATTTGTAAAACGTTGGTCAAAGAGCCTTTTTTTTTCTTCATCAAAACAACGTTCTGCTCTTCAGCTTGGCCTGATCGCAAGAGGGACGGGATGGTGCTTGACAGTGTCTGAGGAATCCTTATACTGCAGAATGGTTTTTGGTCAGTGCCTCCTTGCTAAGTGCAGCATCCCTCTAGAAGGTCTTTGGCTCTCACAGACAACTGGTGTGTCTATGTATAATTCCCAAAAGAAATGTAATATGCCCAGACCAACATATGGGGCGCCAGGATGAATAGACTATCAGAAAGTTAGGGGAGGCATTGGGGACTATTTCTATGGGCATGTTTTCATTCGCCGTGCCCTAGATCGATGTTCTGGCATTTGATTTAGCGGGTCTAGACCAGACCTGTAAATCGAACACTGAGAGCAGCTCCGGCCAGCATCTGTACTCCTCGCAGTCACGAGGAGTAAGGGAAGCCAACAGGAGTGTGTGCTCCCATTGGCCTCCTGAGTTGGGGTCGGGGCCAAGCTCGGCATAAGGTACATATTCTGCGTAGCTGCAGTTGCATATCTTAAGCCGACCTTCCAGATCTAGTGGAGACCTGGCCTATTCTAAAGGATATAGGATATAGGACCTACTCACTGGATTTCTCAAGCTTCCTTCAGAACAAAATTGGGGGGGAGGGTTAAATGTCCTTTTACATTGTCATTTATGCCTCTGAGCACGTACGACAGTGGAGCGATTTCTGTAAATAGTAGGGGACGCTGTACAGATTTTTGTATATGGATTAGAAGCGATTGTTTACTGTATCATATGAACCCACATCAAATCGGGACCTGGAAACTTGTGGTGGAAGGTTTATTTCCTGGATATTTTTGTTTGTTCTTTTTTAAAAATATTAATTCGCCTGCTATTTTGTAATACAATTACCCTGCAGGGCAGAATGTTCATTCTTCTGTCCCCCCATCCTCCGAACGCCATCCTAGCACCCATCTCCTGCTTCTCGCGACCTGCCTGACAACGCCGTTCACACGCGCTAGCCCACGTCTCCCTGTGGACAGGTCCCTGCTATCCAGAGATGGCAGGTTTAAGACTTGTCATAGCTGTGTGGCTCTGCAGGGGCTCGGGGTGGGCTGTTCCACTCAACGTGGTGACAAATACCCGGGGAGGAAGCACAGAGAGAATCCATGCTTGTGGCTGATGCTTTAGAGCAGAGGGAACGGCTTTCCCCCTCCAACGCGCACAACTGCCTGCATCATTGTGTAGGGGAAAGGGAGGGAACAAATTCCCCCCAGCCCTTGACAGCAGATCGTCCTCGATCCTCGATCGCCCTTTTCGTTTGTGTCACTATGGGCGTTGTTAGGGTCTGAGAGAACGAGCAGCACAGAAAGGCAGCTAAAGGGTTAATTAGCATTTTATTCTCCCCCCAGACTTGGGCCCCCTTGTGCCCCCAAACGAGCATATGCACTGTGATGCTGCCAGTCCCGGTGGGTACAGCTACACTGAGGCGCTTGTTTGGGGTACTTCCGGTATCCCGCAATGGCGCATCCCGCCTCTTGACAGCACGCCCGTTATTTCGAAATAGCTTTCGAAATCACGTGCTCGTGATTCCGACGTCCCTGTCAACCTTGTTCCACGAGGATTAAGGGACGTTTCGGACTAGCGGGTTATTTCGAAATGTGGCGCTTTGCAGACAAGTGCCAAACGACGAAATAAGCCATTTCGAAAGACACTCGAAAGAAGCGACGCCATTTGCATAGTGCCAATGGCGTCGCTTATTTCAAGCTACCAGTGCAGTGTAGACGCACCGTAAAAAACCTGTCACCTGGCCAACATTGCCCTCCAAGGCATACAGATCTCCTGGGCTCCTGGACTCCCCTAGGTGACTTTGCAGGCGCAGTCTCCCAAGTAGCTCTCTTTATTGGGGGATTTTGAGAGGGAGGAGGGCAGAGGGCATAAAACCCCTCCCTTGCGCAGGAAAAAAAGTGCACTCCGGCATGAGTTGCTGGGTGTATGGCGGAATGGGTGTCCTGGATGTTAAACTCCATTTGTACATTGTTGTTATTTTTATTGTTGTTTTTTTTTACCAAAAGCAATGAAATAAACAGATCTTTCTAAACCATGCCCCTGTGAGCGCCGCCTTCCTTCTCCTGCTGGTTCTTTGACGTGGCTTTGTCCAGCTGAAACACACTGAGGGCATCTCGGGCCTCGTCAGTTTCCCACAGGCGTGGTGCTCCACGCCGTGGGCACAGGGTCCAGGCCGAGACAACAGAAATGCTCTGGTTGTGGTTGCTGCTTGCAGACAGTTGTGTGCAGCACAGCCCGTGGGTCTGTCGGTATTGAATCACAGGGGCCAGCCCGTACTGACGGCAGAGGAAGTGTGGCCGGAAGAACGCCGGCGGAGAGGAAGGATGCTCTAAGGTGAAGCTCCCAGACTGGGACGTGTGACTAGCTCTGGTGAAGCCGTCCAGCGTGACCGTGAGCAAGACATTGAAACCAAATCTTTCCAACGGGAGCCAGTGAAGTTCGGGGGAGGGTCTTGGTTTTGGGTGCCCAACTGGCGGCCCCGGGGCCTGATTTTCGGAGAGCTCTGGTACCCACCACACAATTTGAAGATAGTGGGAGTGGTGGGGGGTGGGGACCTCGGGTACACAGATAGAGACGCTGGGAAACAGTGATTTTTAAAAGGTGTGTGTTAATTGCTCTGTGCCTCAGTTTCCCCATCGGGTACAATGGGACCAGGCCCTCTCACGGTGGCATTAGGAGGCACAATCCATTCCTGTTTCTGACATGCTCAGCTCCGAGAGCGATGGGGCCCCAGAAACATTGCCCGGTGCCCACTGTTTGCTCTCCCTGTCTCCGAGCGCTGTCAGCCTATGGGAGGAGAGCTGCTCTTTGCACACTGAACCCCCTCGGCCCCATCCGAGGACGCTGGTCCCTTGGCTGAGTATCCGTGCCAGGCGGCAAAGCCGAGTTCTATCGGGAGTCGTACGGCGGCGTTTCTGAGCAGCAGGAGAAACACAGACCAGTTCAAAGCCCAGGCCGGCTTGCTCCCTCCTGCTGGCGACTGCGTTTGGCTTCGCTGAGCGGCCAGTGGGGAGAACCGAGCTGCACGCACAGGGCCCTGGACGGTTCTTCTAGCTCTGGGGCACGGTGCTGAGGTTCCCGCTGCCCCCTCCCCCCCAGCCAGCCGAATGAATGAGCGGGGGTGAACGGCTTTTACGACCCAGCCCTCTTCCCGCTGTGGTTTCCGGGTCGTGTTCTGACCAAGGCGGTGTGGGCCTTCCACGGAGCCCGGAACGGCGGCGCTCGTCAACTTCGAACCCGGCTGAAAGCGGTCTCCTGCCTCTGCAGAGGGCGCCCGGCATTCAGAGGCTGGGTGTCTGTTGGGTCTGCTGAGAACCTGGACCATGTGGGAAGGTTTCTGGGTCAGCCAAATCATTGGGCGCTCTTGAAAACCTGCTGCTGCCCTCTCTGTGCTGGCACCGATTTACACGGTGCCTAGGGCCGTGGTGACAGCAGCTTAGCTACACGGACAGCGATAGATGCACAATGCGGGCGGATCGGCCAAGACGTGCGCCGCTGGGGGGCGAAGGCACGGGGCTGACGGGCTGGAGAGGAACAGTCTGTTGCTCTGCACCTGGGAGGTTTCAAGGCTGCTTCTCCAGCGCGGAGTTCTCCTGGTGGGCGAGAGGAATCCTGGGGGCTCCCAGACTTCAGCCCCGCTTGCGGTTACCTGGCTGCACGGGGCCAGCGGCGCGCCCGTCTCTGCTTTCGCTGGGCTGGAAGAACCAGAGCTCTTCTGCAAAGTGGAGAAGGGAGAAACCTGGGAGGCCCCTCCGGAGGCAAGGTCCTGGCCTGGGAATCTGCCCTGTCGGAATCTGAGTCCTCTCTTCCGAAGGCCTCGCGTATCTAGCAAGAGGAGCAGCGTGCAAGTGGAGGCCAGCGGCTGCACTAGCGAAGTTAAACGTCTTCGCGCATTCCCGCCCCCCGCCTGGGAACAACGGGCAGAACACAGGCTCCTTCAGAAGGCAGCAGGGCACAGAACGTTGCCCCCCCTGCCACATGTAGGGGCTGCGGGCACTGGCCCGTTAGCCGTGCCAGCTGCAACGAGGCCTTTTAGGGCAACGGCGTTTTCAAAGGGCCCCTCTCCTCAAGGCTGCGCTGCTTGATGGTTCCCTGGTCCAGGCTGTAAAGTTCTCCATTGACGAGGGAAAAGTCATAGCCTAGGTTCTACAGCTGGCGAGAGGTTCTACAGCTGAGGTTGTCCCCTGGCTAAACAACGAGGGCCGTTGGGTGATTTAATAACACACTGAGACAATGAGCATCGGTGCCACGGTGCCACGGTGCCACGCGGACAGGAATTGCGGCAGGAAGCTAATGCCAGACTAATCCACCAGGGGTGCGCACACATGCATGGGAGACTCCGCCCCGCCACCCACTCGCCTAACACAAGATTGTGACTGCTTCTGTATCGCCCACCTCAGGGAGGCTCTCCGCTTAAGGCTGGCAGGACCAGGGCCTTCATGGTGAAACCGGCCCCGAGCAAAGGCCTGGCTCAGAATGCCTTTACCTTTGTGCAGGTTCACACGTGTGTGCATGTATATGTATGTGTGCACTCATGTGAGTATGTGCATGCATGTGTGTGTGCACACATATATATGTGCAGGTGTGCAGGTGTATGCACATGTGTGTATGTGCATGTATGTGTACGTGTGTGTGCATGCATGTGCACAAACGTGTATTCATGTATATGTGTGTGTGTGTGTGCACGCATGTGTGTATGTGCATGCATGTGTGTGCACGTATATATATGTGCAGGTGTGCATATGTATGCACACGTGTGTATGTGCATGTATGTGTACGCGTGTGTGTGCATGCATGTGCACACACGTGTGCAGCACAGCGGGCTTGAAAAGGAACACCCAGTGTTGTGGCTCAGGACCCTTTCATTCCATCAGTGTCAGACCCGGGTTAGCCACCACTGGGCGATGGGGGCAGGGCGACGCAAGCGTGTGGCCGTCTGTTCCGCGCCTGCCCCAACGGGGTGCTGGGCTGGCAGGACGCCCCGGGGAGCATCCACAGCAGCAGAAGCTTTGCACGGAAAATGAAGCATTTAGCCCATTGTCTTTGCAGAGGCTTATAAATCCAGCAGCCTCCCAGCTGGCGCCAACCCATGCAGCCCCTGCAGGGGCCGGGCAGTTAAAGTTAACCATTACCCAGTCACTTTTTATTTGGGGCAATAAAGCCCCCGGGAAAGCGAGGGAACGAAGGGAGGCGCGTTTGTTTCAAGAGCCCAACAGCCGGGCAGCACGGTGCCGGCTCAGCCGCCAGTGCCTAAGTGGTGCTTAAACAAGATTAATGTTTAAGTAATAGCCAGTAAACAGTGTATTGCCTCTAGCGCGGCTTGGGGAGGCCGGGCCGGGGCCTAGCAGAGTCCGGACAACTCCCCAGCCAGATGCCACCGCGACTGGAATTTGTGGGGCAGGCCCTGGTAGCGTTAATCTGTGTCAGCCCTGAGTTCACGCACACGCCATGGAGTGCCCTGCTTACTTGTCACCGTCCCATCATACAAGCAGCCCCATTTTACAGATGGGGAAACTGAGGCCAAGACCCTCAAAGCAGGACCACGGAAATGCATAGGCCTTACCTTTCAAGATCTGAGCCTCACCCCCCCTGCCCAAGGCTAACAGTGAGCCAGGGTCATCTCCTGCCAGAGCTGGCTCCCTAACCCTCGACCCGTTCTGCCTCTTCTTCACGCCTGCTCTCTTGCCCGCTGGCTGGCTAGCTCGCATGCTTGCTGCCGGGGTGCATATAAACATCTTGCTGCATAGCCCACCTGTATAGCCCACCTCTGGGAGGCTGGTCGCTTAGGGCTGCCAGGCTGCAGGCCCAGGGCCTTCAAGGTGAGATCGGCCCAGAGAAAAGGCCTGGCTCAGCACGCCTTTACCTTTGTGCGTGTGCAGGTGTGTATGTGCATGTATGTGTGCACGCATGTGCGTATGTGTGCACATGCACATGTGCACACGTGACTGCACGTGTGTGTGCATGCACATGTGAGTGTGCGTAATGGATCCAATTGAGTGCAGACATCTCATTTCTGGGATGAGAGGCAGAAAGGCAAAGCCTCAGGAAACACGTCCCAGGAGTGGGCAGCTTTAGCCACTAGGCTCTTCTGCCCAGAGGGTGCTGGTGGAAGCCCCATCTTTCAGGAGAGAGCCCCAGGAAGTAGGGGACAATCTGGCCAGGCCTCTGGGGCCCCCTGATATGCCCACCAGGGTGCTGTGATTCTGTGCACCTGCTTGGGAGAGCCCCCGCCCCCAAACTCCGGGGCACACAAAGATGGCGCAGCCCTCGTCACACAGCGCCCAAAGGCTCCGTCCCCGCCGCCACTCGCACAATAGCCACCCTGACCCCGCTAATCCCCGGTAAGCTGTTGCCAAGGAGACCCAGGCAGCTGCATTACCTAGTGCCACAGCAAGAGAGGGGCCCAGGAGCGGGCAAACCGGTTCCCGTCCCCCGCGCCGGCTCCACCCCCTTGTCAGAGCAGCCGGCCAGCCTGGCGCGGCGTCCCTCAGTGCGCCTCCGGCCACAAAGCGCCGGCCACCCCCGTGCAGGGAGACATTGGTGTGCAGGCAGGGCGAGCCGCGGTGGACCTGTGTCTGGGCCGGTAGCTTTGTGCAGCTGCCCAAGCGGGGAAAGGCCGAGAAATAGAGTCAGTCTCAATCCTGCCAATACCTTTGAAAGCCACTTCGCGTTTCCAGAGCCATTCCTTCTGGCTTGGGTTGGATGGTGTTTCAATGTCCCACCTCCCCCACAGCTGCCCTCTCCATGGGTGGGAACAGCGCCACGTAGAGACGCCCGCCTGGACTTCGCAAGACAACAAAAAGAAATTCTTTCTTTCTTTCTTTCTTTCTTTCTTTCTTAAGTTCCAGCCTTAAAAAGCGCCTGATCTGAAAGCCCCCGCTGCACCGGTTGGTTCTCAGCCTGCGGTGGGCTGTTCACACCCAAATTTGTGCAGGTTTGTGCCCGTTGGCACACCCTTACTGACGCAAGCTGGGTCGCTATACAGCGCCTCCAAAGCAGGTGAAGAGAAGCCACCCAGCAGTGTGGATTTGGGGAAT